GGTAGAGTTGGCCCTTTTTTGCTCGTTTGTTTACAAGATTCACTTTTGATGTTGGTACGCTGCCTTTTGGCGTTACAGACATCTTTGCATTTTACAGCAAGTGCTTCTAAGAAAGGTGATATGAAAACAAGATGCAAAGAAAGGGATGGTAAGAGAAGGGAAAGATAAGCCCATGGAGATAAGCCCACTCATTGAGATGGGCGGCCATATAAATTGGATAAATAAATAAATAAATAAAAATAAATATCAACATATTTATTGATATTGATAAACATAGCTTGTTACATATTTAATGAGTGGAGTGGTCTTTGCCGAAGAACATTTGGGCAAAGAAGGAGCCAAACAGCCACTGGCTCCAACTAGGCTGATGGACATGCCCTTATGGCTTCCTTTCCATTGGTGAAGAAAGACTGGAAAGAGATGGAACCAAACCACAACTCCCAGTTAGATCCATGAATGGGCCCTTGCTATCTCACTGGCCCCTGTCACTGAAAGAGGAGGAGCCAAAGGGGTCTTCGTCTCAACCAGGCTGATGGAAGACATCTTCCCAGCTTAGCACTCCCTCTGTCCTCTTTTGAGCAGAAAACAGAGGCATTTTCCCCTGAACCTTTTGAGCTGTGCTTCAGGAGAGTAAATCTCTGTGTGTATTTTCTGCCTTTTCAGCTATCTCAGCATTCCAGCAGTAGCAGCCAGCTCCAATTAGTCCCTTCGCCTCGATATATAATTCCTATCTCCAGATCTAGGAAGATTTTTCTCCCTTGAAGATAACTCTGAAATAAGAACACTTATATCGTCTGAGAGACTTCTTCCTAATAAGCATTTCTGTTAACAAAGGTCACGAGCTCTGCTGTTTTTCTCTTGCTAAGAAAATTGATACCCACATGTGATACATTTCCTGGAACTGAATGGTCCAGACCCATTTTGCGGACCTCTGCTGTGCAAGGCAGATCTGATTATTTACACTTGATGGAATACGATGAATGCGCAAAGAGCTTTAGAACGGACCTGCCATGTTTAGAAGGAATGACATATGCCATCTATTTAGGCAACAGAGCTCTCCAATTGCCAATCCTTAGGTAGTCAAATATACCCCATCGTGGGATAAAGGGGGAACCACAAGGTGTGCAGATTTAGGCAAAAATACATATATGTTTGTTTAGAAATTGCAAGGGGGGACTCTTTCCTCTTCCAAAGATCAGCTATAGGATTTGTTCGGTGGACTCTAATTTAATGGGCCAGTTTCTCCTCTTAGAAGTCTGATGTTTACTTTCTTTCTGGATTATTCAGATCCCTAGGACTGCATCTGCCAGAGATGTCAAAAGAAAAAGAGGGGAAGCACACTTGTTCCTCTCTAGCATCCATGCTGAAGAGCCCCACTGATTCCTACACTTTAAGAAGGGAAAACTGGGGAAGGGAAAATTCAAGGGGCACAGGAGAAGACTCAGTGTATCTTGCTTTAACTGGAAATGACCCTCCAGACAGGCTCAGGAGCATCGCTTCCTGCCAGAATACATCCCTTTTTTCTCTGCCTGGTTGCATGTAAAAGAGGAAACTCTGCACCTTATTCTCCCTGTTACTTCCTGTTGGGAAACACGTCCTTTGACATTTTGCTGCCTCTGGATTCTGTTTAGGAGGCAGAGGAAGTGACATGGTTGCCATTTCCTCCTCCCGGGATTGGGGTTTTCTGCAACTTCGGACTGAATTTAGAAGCAGAGGAAATAACAATTCCCAGGGCTCCTGAGCAGAAAAGGATCCTTCACCTCAAACTGAGTACCGTAACCTCATTTCCAGTCATGGAAAGAAAGCAAGGCTGTTTCAGGGACCCAAACCTGTTGCTATTTTTTTTTCCCCTTTTCAAAAATGGGTTTTGCTTAGAAAAGATAGCAGGGGAGGTTTGGCCAAGGGAGAAGTTCAGACTGAAGCCCTTTTTGACTTGGCATGGGCTACAGTATTTGTAACTGTGAGCTCCTTCCATTGGGAGTTCATTCACAGTGTGAACGTTTGAACACACTGTTTTTGCTGACGGTACCCCAAGGTGAGATCCCTTGATAAAGAACAGCCATATGCAACAGGCAATTATTTTCTCCTTGATTATCTTAGATGGCAGGCTTAACATCTGACTGAAGTTGGACACTACAAAAGGTATGAATGCCAACTGTCTTCCTACTCATTGTCTAGTGTTTGTTGGTTTGTGTGTTCTGGCTAGGGAAACTAGTGTTTATTCTTTGCTAACTGCTATATTTTATCTGGCATTGTGATTGAACTGGTAAAACATTAGAAATATCAGCAAAGTTGTGAGGCCCAATATACAGTCCAAATAATAGTTCTAAAATTCAGCCCATCAACAGAAAAAAAAAGAAAAAGAAAAAGAAGAAGAAAAAGAAGAAAAAGAAGAAAAAGAAGAAAAAGAAGAAAAGAAAAGAAGAAAAAGAAAAAGAAAAAGAAGAAAAAGAAGAAAAGAAAAAGAAAAAGAAAAGAAGAAAAAGAAGAAAAGAAAAAGAAGAAGAAAAAGAAGAAGAAGAAAAGAGAAAGAGAAAGAGAAAGAGAAAGAGAAAGAGAAAGAGAAAGAGAAAGAG